CGCGCCGTTGCCCCAAAGCTGCAAACCCACTTGCACACACCCCCCCCCCTCCCCCCTCCCCCATCAGCAGCACTCTAACCGAAAAAGAAAAATGCTGGTTCAGTCATAAATCCAAAACCCGAACCGAGTCGCCCTCCCAAATGCCCTTGTTAATGAGCAAACGAGCTGCTGAGTGGATTTCAACAGACTTGGCTCAAAATGCAATAAGGCAAAAAGAAAAAATGAAAAAAATAGAAAAAAATTAAAATTAAAATGGAAAGAAAAAACTTATTGCATAATTATGTTCAATAGCATCGGCCACGCCCCTTTCTCGTTAGCCCCTCGTTAGCTTAATATCCGCGTTTAGCCTTGCAAATTGCTAGCTGCATTATCAATGAGCCTCGCATTGGGTTACACAGTTTTAAATTTCTTGCATAATTCAAACTAAGCTGCTAGCCATTAATTAAAACCGAAAATAGTTCGTCGCGGAATCTTCATATCAATATCTGCACAAAGGATAGCCACAAAGACCGCTGCGGATGATCTCTCCAGCTGCGGTTCAGGTTCCCAACTAATTGGCGTTAGATCTCGGTGTGGCATGCAACTACACCAAATCCATAAACGCATCGTATCTCCACAGGGTATCAGAAAACCTCCGACAAGCTTGGATATACCCTCGCTAGCCTTGGGAGCAAAGTAAGCTAAGTAAGCTCCCTAAAGCTCCCTGCCCCTCTTTTTTTGCCTAGCTCCCCCTTTTACAATATTATTTGAGCTGCATAAAAACGAGTTCCAAGCCAAGCTTATCACAGAGAAACTTCCATGCGACCGCTTACCATCAATTTTTCACAGTCTCAGTTGGAATTCCATTTCAAAATGAAACACATATTTTTAAAATATTATTTAAAGCTTTAACAATACTTCATCCATACAACCTTTGACTGGCAGCCAAGAGGAATGGATTTTTCGAAAAGTGTGAAACATTTGAATCCGAAACTACAAGCGGGGTGGATTTTACGAAAAGTGTGAAACACTGAGATTTTAGACAGCAAGTCTCGGGCTGATCACCAACTCAGTCTGTCAGTCAGTCTGCCCGTCAATCAATCAGTCAGTCAGTTAGTCATAGAGAACATATCACAACGATTTTGGATGTAACTTAGTCGGCTGTGCTCATAAAATGATGCAGCTTTTAGCTAAATCGAATCAGGGAGTAAGTAAATATTAAGCATACGATGTGTTGTGCCGATCAAGTGTTGTCCACATGGCAGCTGGGCGTTGACCAAGAGCAAACAGAGACACACACACAAACACACACACAAGCACACACCTATTTGGGTCATGGTGTCAATTTGTTGAGAAGTAAACGTATAGCTTATCTATATATCGTCTGGCCAGGTATATGTATATGCATAAAGCAGCAACACGACAACAACAATAAGACCAACTATTTTAGATAAAAGACCACAGGATACCCTGTGACCTAGATGTTTGGCTTTCATTAAAAATGGCGCCCAACGTGTGGCACAGCCACAAAACTGCAGTTGAGCTTAAAAGCTAACGGGACTTTAGTTTTCAACTTGGCAAAGCTTCATTTTATCTAACGGCACGCGCTAAGCTCAAACTTAAATTCAGCTTTTACTTTATGGCCGGCCTTGCACATATCTCTGGTATGCTGCACACACACACACACACACACACACACGCACACACATCTATGTGAAGCTAAGCAGGATATTCCTTGAGGGGGTGGTATTGTGCCTTTTTGTTATATTATTCTGCCTGTTGTTGTTGTTAGCTGGCTGCTCGCCCAAAATGCCTTTGAGTGTGCACACACACACACACACACACACACACGCACACACTTACATATTTGCACATAATTTTATAAGAATTTCAATTTTACAAGTTGTCGCAGCGTATGTAACTTTCAAACCCATCGCACTAAAGAGCCAAAAAAATTAAAATAAAATAAATAACAAAACAAAAATCTGCTCGGCATTTGGGCATTTATGTAAGCCAGTTTGCCTTAACCCAGACCCGGGGCACAATTATGTGTGTGCATCATTTTGGCCGCAAAATTCTCTTTTTCTTTTTTCTCCAGTGAAATGCCATTGCCTATTAGATGCCACACGGCACAGCCGCACCATCTGCTCAACAATTAGTTGCCCCACGCATTTCTAGGCCAAGTAGGCGATAAAAGTAGCTCCAGCCCAACACAGCAGAGTGTGTTATACGAGACGCTCCGTCAACGTGTGCTCTGTGCACCTGACCAGGTGTGAAGGGCGGAGAAAACAGGAGACAGCGCCTACGCCAAGGCAAATGCCAGCTGTTGCGCCCCTTTGAATCACTTGACATCGCGAATTTCATATTCCTACGATTCACTAAGTGAAAACTAAAGGAAATTACCCGGCGTCGTCCGCAAGATATGCCCAGGCAGATCGACAGCAGCTCATTCCCCAAGGCCTTATTGCCTATATTTATTGCTCTTCATATATATCGCACTTTAGATTGAGCTGCTGGATTTGAACCCGCGAGCTGCCGTTAACAAATTGGTTAAACACATATAAAAATTATTAGCTACTGCTAAATTTAAACCAGCGAGCTGCTGGATTTGAACCGGCAAACTGCCGCTAAAAAGTTGGTTAAACACATATAAAAATTGAAAGCTGTTACTGGATTTGAGCCAGCGACTTCTAGCTTGTTGGTCCGACGCTCAGCCTCACAGACTCGCCCAATTGCCCAATTGGAGGTCGAATTATGCAAAACTCCATCTACTCACATGCGACCCAAATAGAGTAAAAAAGCTTTAGTAAAAATATTAGCTTGCTCGCTCTTTCGGCATGGACTGTGCATTCAACATCAATCAATCAATCAGTCAGTCAGTCGCTTAATTAAACAGCCGCAATTTCCCAAAACACAGCAATGCAATTTTGTTAATTTCAAAATTTTCACAGCAATTCGTTAAGCAACTCACATGCCGAATGTCATTTAAATGAGCTAATGCTTTCTGCTCAATTTCTAGCTAGTTCATTATGAAGCGATTGATGATTGATTGAGCTGAAAATAGTTATTTAATAGATTGCTTAGTTCAGTTGACACAGCTATAAAACAATAAATATCTAGTTGAACTCAGCATTGTTTACACAGACTCAAGCTGAGAGAAACTTGGATGTTTGCCAAGCTCAATCAAAGCCAACGTACAGCAAAATGCAGCTAGTTGCACGACCTTGTCGCGGGGCCAACAACAACAACAGCAACAAACGACTCGTGATGTTGATAATAACGCAAGTGACTTTCTGCGTTTCCAAGTTTATATATAGCCATATATATTTATCTATACACATGTATATAAATATGGAAGGAATTACAAAAATACAACAACGAGTGCATTCCAAAGTTATTTATTAATAAACAATCAGAGATCAACAATAAACAATACTAAACTGTTGAGACTGCCAGCGCAATGCAAACAAAATGCATGTAATGCCATATGCCAAAGGAGATACTCTCTCTCTATATACATATATATATATATATATACATATGTATATATTTATATGCATATATATGTGTATAATCCATATATATACTTTTATTTATCATATACTCGAATGCGTTGCTTACTTTGCCCTGATTTTAATTAAAACTAATCCCCTGCAACAATGAGTCTCTAACAATAGAACACAACGTGCAAAATCAAGCTCAATAAGAGTGCGCCAGTCGGGAGTGAACGACTAGCAGATACCCTTAAGCCGTAAACGAGCTAGCTCCACACACATTCTAGCTATCTGGCTAACCCGACTATAGTAAATGCATTCTTAATTAACTTCGATCCATGTTTATTTATCAAGGCAAAAATGTGGCAACAAAATGCGTGCAAATACCAAAGCACAAGGCTCTACCCTTTAAATTTAATTGGCAATGAGTGAGGACATCAAAAGATTGAAATGTGCCGGCTTTGTGTTTATTATATAAGAATATACATATATACCAAGTCGGGTCTCTCTAGCTCTAAGAGTTATGTGAAAGAAAGAACAGATCTCGATTTGTTTCATTAAATACAACTTTTGATTATAGCACATGCATCTAATTTATCTCATATTCACTTATGAAAAAAAATAAAAATATATTATGGCGCAGCTCATGCTAGCCTTCATAATACACTTGCTAGGGTATTACCAATTCGGCTACCAAGGACAAACATGTTGACTTCCTATGTTTTCATAGTATTTGAATAATTTCAACTAATTACTTTGCTTTGGCTCACATTTACAACTTTGCCTTGAATAATCAAATTAGCTGCTTATTTGAAACTTTAACTTTACAGCACTAGCAACTTGTGTTGTGTAACACCAAAAAATAAATGCAAAGCAATAAACAGGAAAAATATGTGCTATGTATGAACTGATTACAAACTGTTTGCACGGAAAAAGTTGTGAAAACAAGAAGTGGCACGAAAACAAAAATAAACTAAAAGCAATCAAAGCCTATGAAAGCTTAAGACTAGAGTGCTGAGTATTTAAGTGCTTTTAGGGCTCAATATAGGATAAGTTGCTTTGAGATAAGTTGCTTGAAAAGCACATTAAAGATTTAGTTAAAATAACGGTGAGTATTTAAGTGCTTTTAGTGCTCGGCTACATCTGAGATAAGTTGCTTTAAACGCACATTAAAGCTTTAATTTAAGCTTTTGAAAGCTTTAACAGAGATTGAGACAAATGAATTAAGTTAGGCAAGAAAAAATGCTTAAAGGCGTAAAAGCTTGGAAAGCACATGAAAGCTTAAATTGATATTGACAGCAATTAGTGCTGTACAGCAATGAAAAAAAGGCAGCAAAGAAAGGCTTAAAACGTGATTTAAGCCAAAACTAAAGAATCTGCCATTACTTTTGCTCAATTTGTAGGTATTTTTTTAATTGGCCTGATTACCGTGCTTAGCGCAATAAACGGAATGATTAATGAATATTTTTATGAATACCACTTAAGAAATGCAACTAATCACATGAGGATGTTCTTTCTCTTGCACAGCTGAGGATATATGATGCAGCTGCCTGGCATTTACGAGACTGGCAGCATACAACCCACCATCATTACTGGCATCCAGTCTCGCTCTTAAGGCGGTCACCAGACGTAAGGCTCATGCCGACAGCGGCACCTTCGATCAACCGGACAGTCAGCACGCACCACAGCACCACAATGACATCGACATCGACAACATATGGCGCCACATCGACGACACAAGCAGCGCTGACTAGCTTTGAGCCAACGGCCGTGACAGCTGCCGGCATGGATGTGGCCATGGCCGGAACGGAGCCTATATTCAGCACCAGCATCCCGACATTCTGGAACTCATCAATTGACACCGCATCGGCCAACAGCTATGACAGCTGCTCGGCTATGTTTGCCAACTACACCCAACCGACGGCAGGTGAGTGAGTGTGTTCCCAGTCCTAGTTCCAATCCCAGTTCCAGTTCCAGTTCCAGTTCCAGCTCCAGTTCGTTTGCATGTTACATCTTATTAAATTCCAAGCACATCAAATATTTTCGCTTAGTTCAGTGAAAGGGTATATATATAGATATGCAAAGATGGATTTATGCATTGCAGCTTTGCAGACGGGTTTTTTTTTTTATTTTTGTTATCAACTTTTCAAGCTAAAATCGCTCGACAAGTTTGTTACAAAGGAAATGCTTATTTTTAGATAAGATTTAGATTCACCGAATCCCATTTCAAATGAAAATCGATGAGATGCGCATAAGTCTAACAAAATATTTAGCAGACACGTCAATTTCCATGTAATCAAACAATAAATGAATTCGATTTAATATCGATAAGTCCAACTCAATGGGTAGCATTTATTTTCAGTGTTGCAAATCAGATAATGCAAGCCATTCCATATATAGGTCAGAGGCGAGATATATAAAAAAAAAAAATGTAATGCTAGTGGTAGTTAAATCTAGTTCACATGCAACAGCTATCGAACCAATTTCGCATTCGAATCGATAAAACAATCGATAAAAAGAGATCTATAAGACACAAATCCATATAAATACGCAAGCAAAATGTGAAATGGCGTATAACTGTTTTCACGCCTGATTTCAATCTGATTGCCAATCGATATACAATCGATAAATCTACGCAAGTGAATGGAAATCATGGTTGGAATGATATTTAAAATCTAACATTTTAAATGCAAACGAATTTTTTGATAGGCGTGAAATTGTGAGGGAGCATTTTAATATGAACATTTCTTATCTTGAATTCTTCATCGATAAACTATCGATAAGTCTACATAAATGAATGGAAGTCATGAGAAGTATAAAAGTATATACATAAAATGTAAACATGCAAATAAAAAAATGCCGACAAAAACGGATTCGATCAAATCGATAACATATCGATAGGTCTATCGAAATGCTTAGCCCTGTCTTTCAATCTGAATTGGATGATAGCAAGCCAGGAGAGGACTGTCAAAATGTAATGCCAGTTGTATTTTTGTGACGCCAAAATCAATTCTCATTTTTCAATTCTCCATTCTCGATTCTCAATTCTTGAGCACGTTTCGGCAACACTCTCTCAAAATTCCAAATTACCAAAAATTCAACTTACATAAATTTTCTAGCGCTAACAATTGAAGACCTTTGTATTTGAATTGTGTATATATATAAATACATATATAAATATATATATATATATATATGTATATATATATAGAGTGAGGGACAGAGAGAGAGAGAGAGAGAGAGAGAGAGAGAGAGAGAGATAGTGACAAAATGCTGAAGATCGTCATGAACATTGTTGTGAACTGCAAATCGAAGGGGCGCTACATGATGGCCATTCAGACAAAGGTCCAACGAGGCGGCAGGCCGGACGGGCATCTTCAGCTGTTGCGGGAAAAGTTTGCCAATCGACGCAATGAGCAATGAGAAGACCGGCGCCAAGACGTTGCCATCAGCTGGCCCAGCCAACATACTCCACCCACCTGCTGGCTGTGCGGTCCCAACCAAGCCGAACTAGCTTTTATATATACATATACATATATATTTATTTATTTATTTCGTTCTTTTGGGCCCGCAAATTATTTATTCAGCTTAAGCATAATATATAGAGGAGAGCTAGAGAGAGAGAGAGAGAGAGAGAGCTAGCTGTGCTTTTATTTAAGTGTACTGGGTGGTTTGGGCCGGATATTTTCGCAATAGGTAACTGGGTTAACATGTTTTATGCAGCAGCTGCATTCACCTCATTTGCCACGCATGCCACATGCCACGCATGCCACATGCCACATGCCACGTATCCTTGTGCTCGATTTATTGTTTAATTAGCGACTGTCACCAGCCCTCACACATCCATCAACTAGCAGCTAGCATCTGTCTCTCTCACTCACACTTACACTCTCGCTCTCGCTCACACTCACTTACTGACTATTGCCTTCTCTGTTTCTCGCTTAGTCATCTATTGCAACTGGACCTGGGACTCGCTCCTGTGCTGGCCACCAACTCCGGCCGGCGCCACCACCCACATGCATTGCCCCGCCGGCTATCATGGCGTCGATACGCGCAGTAAGTAAAAAAGGCCAACAAACGAATCACCACGAATCTCAGTTGCCCTAACAATTATGTACATTATAAACGAAAAGGAAGAAGAAGCGACTGCCTCGGCACGGCGATGGTCAAATACCCTTCAAAGGTCTCCGAAAAGATCGTATGCAAAGTTTATATACTCCAAAGATTGTTCCTATAGCAGCCACATGATATAGTATGCCGATCTGATAAGCCAGATCTGCTAGAGAGTGTAGAGAGCTTATAGCTATACGATATAGGTATCTGAGTTGGGTAAGGTTCTATCTCTATATTAGGAGCATTGTGAACCAAAGTAATGCCAAGTTTATTCAAAATTTCTTTCAAAAAATAAATCGTTTAAGACAAGAACTTACTTTTGCAGCGATCGTTCCTATAGCAGCTATGCTATGCTATATTAATTCGATTCGAGCGACTTGCTATTTCGAATCGTCTGTTGATTTTAAATTAAATATATATATATATACTAGCTTGAACGGAAGAATATAACTTAAATATAAATTATATTACCTTTGCTTGAAACCACATTTCCACGCAGTAAAGCGAATTTTCCGTAATCTTGCGTGTCATTTTTTCAAATTTGTGAAAAACTTTCACAACAAATCTTACCACGTCTCTTTGAAAATGAGTTCAAAGTCGATTTGATGATAAACAAAAGTTTGATACAATTATTTTCTATCCATTTTCCACATTTGCGGGTGGAATCCGAAATCCCGTCTTAGCAGGCATTTTCACCGCATAAGTTGCCTTACAGTTAAAAATTCAGCCTTTAGCTCTTAAAATTTGGCCTGTGCGTTGATCATCAATCAGTAAGTCAGTCAGTCAGTCAATCAGTCATTCAGTTGGTCAACCAGTAGGTCAATCAATCAAGCAGTTAGAACCAATAGATTTATATATAAATATACAAGTAGTTTGTACGAAGGCATATAAGTATTATATATATGTGCGTGTGTGTATGTGTGTGTGTGTGTGTGTGTGTGTGTGTGTGTGTGGGCGTGTGTGTGTTACTGTATGCATGTATGTATGCATTTATGTAAATATGTATGCATACATGTTTGTTTTCTAATACCAAACGCAGGCCAAGCTTATTTGTCGCTGTGCTGCAAATTTAAATAAAACGAATTTCCGCCAAGTGCTCTCCTCCTCGATTCTCAAGAACTCAAGTAGGCTCTGCAGTTATTAACTAGTAGTCTAGTGCTTTTTTTGGTGTTTTTTTTGGTGTTATATTTTTGGTGTTTTTTTTTTTGTGTATGTACATATGTACCCTTATATGTTTGTACATATGTATGTCCGTATGTACATATATATGTGCGTATGTACATATGAATGTATTTATGTTTGTATGTATGTACATATGTATGTATGTATGTATGTATGTATGTATGTATGTATGTATGTATGTATGTATGTATGTATGTATGTATGTATGTATGTATGTATGTATGTATGTATGTATGTATGTATATATGTATGTATGTATGTATGTATGTATGTATGCATGTATGTATGTATGTATGCATGTATGCATATATATATGTAGGTATGTACAAAACAAACATACATGCATGCATACATATATATGGAAACTTAAAACTTCGCCCGAAAACTCTTTGAATCGCACTTTCAACCGAGAAAGCTTGGATTCTGCAAAAAGTGTGAAACACGATTCAAATGAATTTAAACAAACATGTTTGAACAAATGAGTTTGAGGCCGATCGGATGGTAAACAAAAAAGTTTCATACAAACGATTTTCGCGATTTTTCCACACTTGCAGGTGGAATTTCCCGAAAGCCCGTCTTAACGTGCACCTTCATCACATAAGGTAACTACAGTGAAAATTTCAGCTTACGGTTTGGGCTATGCGTTGATCACCAATCAGTCAGTCAATAAGTCAGTCAGTCAGGACAAACCCTTTTATATATAGAGATATACTAAATATATATAAACAATTTATAACTGATAGATTTTTAAAATCAAGGCAAAAGTTAAATTTTCAATTTTAGCTTTGCGAAATTTTAATTCAATTAAATTTAAATTTAAGGAATCATTCAATTTTAAATTTCAAGAAGTTTCAAAATCGAAGTAAAACTGAAATTTTTAAAATTTTAAATTTCAAGAGGACAAACTAATGTTTTGAATTTTAAAAGTTTTGATTTTAAAATCAGGGAATAATTGAAGTTTTCAATTAAAAACTTCAAGAATTTTAAAATCAAGCAAAAATGCAATTTTTCAATTCTTAAATATCAAGAAATTTCAATTTAAAATCAAGAAAAATGCAATTTTAAAAATTAAAATTTTAAGTTTCAAGTTAAAAAATTTCAAGGAATTATATTTGACCATAAAACAAAATAAATATTCCCAGTTATAGCCAGTTGGTCATAAAAAATGCCATAAGCAAAACGCATTCCACATGAACTTGCAGAGCTGGATTAAATTTTGCACGGGACACAGAAATAGGTGAAGCCAACGAGCTGAGTGGACTACTCAGGAATGCATGAAGGCATCCGTGCGTGGGAGTCACGTAGTTGTCCATTGAGATTTGCCATAATGGGCAATGAAAGAAGCCAAGTGAATAGTTTAGTTGGCCATCAGTCTATTGCATAATTGGGCCTAACTGTATAATTCCATGGAACATACCAGGCAATCGAATGCAATTCAAATCATTTGGGTAATTATTCAACGTCCAACTGGGCCAAGACAATACGAGCTGGGCGTGGGCCTACGACAGCCGTCGCACATCCATAACTATACCCTGTTATTTACCTTTAATTTGCTGAAAATTGTCTTCAATTAGCTAATAAATGGCTTCTGAATTATTCGCTTGTTTCCTAAAAGTAGCGACCAAAGTCTCGGCAGATATATCCTTTAAATTGAGAATTGTGGGCATAACTCGAAGACTTTATGAGCTAGTCGCAATATATTTGGTATGTGGGCGTGTTTATGGCATGCTTAGACTGCGCATATTGCACTTTCTCAATACCTGCCCCTGTTCAGCTGGGAACTGACAAAAATCAAATGCTTAAAGTTAGGGTCTTACGCTTCTGTATATGCACACTTTTGCATGCCATATTGCAGCACTGAAAATGTCATTAAGATCGGACTACAGAGTTCGAAGTTGTTAAAGGATGCATTTACCGCAGTGCGAAGCAAAGGCAGCTAAGCTCTGCCAGTCGCATGTGAAGATGTTAAGAAAATAAACTGTTCGACATAGCTTTGATGTCAGCTAAGCTACCTGCTTTGCATAAGTGTGTGTGGATTTGGGCTCTGCCAAGTTTTTGACAGTCGCTTTCGCAGGAAGAACGACAGACTTTAATGATAATGAGCAGCACATTAGTTGAATGGCAACTCTTCTTGGCTCGTTACCATAGCATTAACTCGTGTAATTGGTAGCTACCTTCACCCCAACCCCTACCCGCTGGGCCTCATGTTACAGGTGAATTTTGATATATTCACCTGTTAATATTTAATAAGCAGCCAGTCATAATTTGACCTGACCCCAATGCCCTAATGGGTATTACATATAGCTGCATAACTGTACACACGACACCGTTAGGTGCGGGGTGTGCGTGTGTGTGTATGCGTGTGTGGGAAGGGGGGGGCACTCGCAAAAAGCTCGTTTCAATTGACATAATTACAGTTAGACCGAAGCTGTCATTGACAACGTTGACGCTTACGTTAGCGCTGACATCGACGCTGACATCGGGTTGCTGTTTGATTAAAGCAAATAGTAAAAGCAAAGAAGAAAAAAACAGTTGCGGCTGAGCGCTCGACTGGCAAATACCCTGGACTTTCAGTTTGATATATTGGAAGCTTGAACACACAATTAAAAAAAAGTTGTCAATTTCACAAATCTTTTTCGTGTTGCGACTGATTCTCATAGTTCTTCCCACGATTTGTCGCGCACTTAGCCAAAATGTACTACTACCATCTCTTGAGAGCTTGTCTCAGAGTTCGATTTAACAATTTATCAGTGCCACACTTCTCTGAACTCAACTCTCTGACTGCGGGGTAGAAAGCAGGACAACAGGCGAGGCCAATGTGAATCAAATTGAACGTGATTTGAAGGACGCGACAGCTTCAATACAATGAACTCCAGCCAAGCCAGGTGCGCCCATAAACGCACGCATCGTTTGATGGAACGTGAGGTACATTCATTTTAGCACATGCTTGCCTGAGCCAATAAAAAAGTACGTCAACAATTTAACTGAGTGAGGCGTGCACAAAAAATAGCTAAACCAGGTCTGCAAACCACTAACCAAAATGAACTAATTTTCGGTTCAAAGCAACTTGCCTGTGAGAGTCAGCTCAGTTCGTGATCCTGATTAGATAAATCGCCTTCAAAACTTCTCATTTTTTACCAAACCATTTTTGAACAGAGGCTCCCAGCTCGAACCGGTTTGGTTCGAAAGCGGTTCGCAACCTTGTTCATATTGATAATCTTTACTTTGAGCCGGGCTTAACTCAAACTATTTTAATTTAAACCCAAGTATTTTTGAACATTAAATTGGTAGTTAAAAGTATCGAAATTTTGCCTCGAACCGGTTTGGCTCAAACAATTGTTATCAATATCCCTGCATCTGGGTTCTCGGATCTCCATTAAACCTTTTTTAGTCAAACTAGCTTTGAAAAGAAATATGGTTCGGTTCGGTTCAGCTGCTTTTTGGGCAACTGGCTGGCTCGGAGGTTCGCTTAACCTTTTTATTGAAACAAAAAACTTTCTGAACAGAAATGTGGTTCGGTTCGATTTTTGGCTCGGCAGAAGCATCTGCATCTAGTTGCTCAAGCGGTAACGAGTTTCGTTTTTGGTTATGCTTAGAAAATATACATGTAAAAACCGACTCGAACCGGTTCGGCTCAACAGATCTCCCTCAAACTATTCGATCATGAACCAAAACATTTTAAATAGAAATATGGTTCGGGTTAGTTCAACATATTTACTTACTCTGGGGTTCGGTTCATGTTTAAAAAAAAAACATTGAAATTCCCATCGCGAACTGGTTCAACAGCATCTTTAATCCTTATTTGTATTGATACCTTGATTTGGGTCTAGATCTGCCTCCAACTATTTGTTTAAAAAATACTTTAAAAATCCGCCTCGAAGCGGTTCGACTCAAAAGCAGTTTGCAGCTTCGTTTATATTGGAAACCTACCAACTACTTGGCTAGAAAATGTTAAGCTTGTCGTTTGCTCTCAGCTGCCAGTTGCTTATTTACTTGCTTGATTGACCCCTCTGGAAACAAAAGGACATAAAAAGGTACACAGAAAATGTAATTGCTGGTATTGTGTTTCGCTTAAACAGAGTTTGCCAATCGGAAGTGCGAGCTGGATGGTCATTGGGCTGGCCGACCCAATTCGACTGTACAAAAGCCCTCCGGCTGGACCGACTATGGACCCTGCTACAAGCCGGAGGTGATACGGCTGATGCAGGAAATCAAGGATGTTAACGTAAGCAGGACAATGTTTAGTTTTGCGATCACTTAACAAGCGTTTTTCCACTGCAGCTCTACATGGACATAGCTCAACGTACACGCACCCTGGAAATCATTGGACTATGCCTGTCCCTGTTCGCCCTGATCATATCTTTGATGATCTTTTGCGCCTTTCGATCGCTGCGCAACAATCGCACCAAAATACACAAGAATCTGTTCGTTGCCATGGTCTTGCAGGTGATTGTGCGACTGACCCTCTACCTAGATCAGTTTCGGCGTGGCAAATCGGACTCGGCCAACAACACAAGTCTATCGGTTATTGAGAATACGGTGAGTACAAGCTTCTCTCAAAGATCTTTAAAAAAGAGTTTCAGACCGATCGGCCACCAATTTTGAAACCTTTGTCTACATAGGATATTTGAGTGTACCATTTACACTTGAATTTCGACAAAAAATAATGTTGCTAGATTAAGATGCAAAATTGATCTAGGGGCCAAACCATGATAAAAGAACCAAACCTCGTGAAAATCGGATGAGATTTGACCGAGTTATGGTGGTGGGAAATTTTGACCTTTGTCTATATATGATATTTGACCTTTGTCTATATATGATCGATAAATTTCGACCAAGATTTATGTACCCAGATTTAGACGACAAATTGATCAAGGGGCTTTAATTTTGCGAAAAATATGAAACACGTCTCAAATGATTTTGCGTATAGATCCTTGAAAATGAATTTGAACCGGAAACGTCACCCACCAAATCTTTGACCCCCATTTCCAAGGAGGAAACACCCCTGAAGTTAATTTGAACAAAGATCTTTGAAATTGTGTTTGAGGCCGATCGGATGGTAGAGAAAAAAGTTTCATGCAAACGTTTTTCGCCATTATTCCACACTTGTGGGTGGAATTAACCGAAACCCCTTCGTAACGTGAACGTGCACGTCAAGTCACCAATTTGTCAGTCAGATAGATAGATAACCATATAAATAACCTAGAGCTGGTGTAAATAAAGGACATTTATCGATTGCAGCCCTACCTATGCGAGGCATCGTACGTGCTGCTGGAATACGCACGTACCGCCATGTTCATGTGGATGTTCATTGAGGGTCTCTACTTGCATAATATGATCACCGTCGCGGTATTCCAGGGTAACTTTCCGCTCGTATTCTTCTCGCTGCTCGGCTGGGGCATGCCCGTGCTGATGACCTTCGTCTGGGTTCAGTGCACGGCAATATTTATGGACACCTCGCTGGGCGATTGCCTCTGGAACTACAATCTGACGCCCTACTACTGGATCCTGGAGGGGCCACGTCTCACCGTTATCATGGTGAGTGCATCGAACGCAATACGAATTGTGCTTTTGGGCATACGCTTACCTTCTGGCCGGCAGCTGAACTTCTTCTTCCTGGTGAACATCATACGGGTGCTGGTCGTCAAGCTACGCCAGAGCCAGGCCAGCGAAATCGAGCAGACGCGCAAGGCCGTCCGGGCTGCAATCGTTCTACTCCCACTGTTGGGCATTACCAACCTATTGCATCTGGTGCCGGCTCTGAAGACCGCTTGGAAATTCGCCATCTGGAGCTATGTGACCCACTTTCTGACATCCTTTCAGGGCTTCTTCATAGCGCTCATCTATTGTTTCCTCAACGGCGAGGTGAGTTGATCTCCTGCTCCAGCCTGTGCCCATTTGAACTCCTCCCTCTCCTCCTCTCCTTTGGCCAGGTGCGCGCTGTCATGCTGAAGAGCATCGCCGTGTGGTTGTCTGTGCGTGGCCATCCGGAATGGGCACCCAAGCGCCCCTCCATGTATTCGGGCGCCTACAATACCGCACCTGACACCGATCCACAGCTGAAACCAGGCGACCCACAACGAACCGGCAAGCGGTAGGCACACACTGAAAAAAACACTGGAAAAAAAAAATGAACAAAAAAAAACTACCCAAAATTGCAACAACATTTTCATATTCGTCCCTTAAAATCTTGACTAAGGCCTGTCGCCACATTTTTAAGAAGTTGAAAAAACTTAAAAAATATTCCTTAATTTTTATTTAGGAATTTTTATTTGATTTATATAGAGCAACATTTTTTTGACTATCGCAACTTTTTGTGTTAAGAAGCAGCAAATGTTGTCTGTTAATCAGAAAATATTTCTAAAATATTTTTAAAAAAATCCAAGAAAAAAAACTTCCAAAAATTAGCAAATTACATTTCTTATATTCTTGCAGAGGGCATTTTAAGTTTGTCATGAAATGGATAACGCATAGAAGAAGACATCTGCGAACCCATAGAGCCGAGTTAATATAGCCAAGTGCATAAGTCCCTCTGTCTGTCGTCTTGAAACTTTGCATAGATCTGTCTTTATATTGCAAGCAGTACATATGTATGTCGGCATCGGCCGGATCGGAGCACTATATCATATAGCTGCCGTAGCAACGATCCGTCGAAAAGTAGCCTCTTGTATGGACAACTTTTTTGTTTGTCAAGATGTCTTGACTTAACCCGATATCTTGACTAAACTAGTTAAACTATGCTGCTTATATACTTATGAGCCGAATCGCATCAAGATCGCACTACTATATACGCTATAGGAAGAATCGGTGGAAAGATGAGTTCTAATTTGGCCAAATATTCTGTTTACCATGAGTTGTGCATCAAACTTACCATTTGCAAGCTTTACTTTTCTCACATATGTATCTGCAAAAGAGAAATGTCTGCAAGGGTATTAAATCTTCGGGATTTGCTGAAGATAAACTTTTGTTTTTTCGAATATATACATATATTTATTTTCTTGCTTTGAGTGCACTCTAATAGTTTTGCCTTCCTCTACCCTTAAACAAAAAAAAAACAGGCTATCGCAGTCCACAAAGCGTTTGAATTCACGCAAGGCCAGCAGCGTGACCATTGTCATTAACACCGAGCCGCAGATCCACAGATATATACCGAGGCGCAGCAACAACAACAGGGCCTCCACTGGCAGTCTACGTGTCCGCGGCATAATGAAGGCCAAGGAGGAGCCGGCCAGCGGCTCGGACGTGGGCCAGCGCATACGGAGCACGGATGAGGAGGCATCGACAACTGGCCGCAACAACAACAACTGGATGTTCAGACTGTGCTTTCGCGGCCAAAAGGTACTGAGAGTACCGCCAGCGACATCCGTACCACCCGAGTCAGTTGTATTTGAGTTGTCAGAGCAGTAGGCCAATTTACATAGTTATAGCCAAATAGACGTAGCCCGTGCTCGTACTCTCCCCGTAGATCCTTAGTTCAATTAGAGCTTTAGAGCCCCTAGTGATACACCAAATGTAGTCTTACTTTTCCAGCTACGTTTCGCCCCACTTGCACAAAACAGCCCCAACCCACGCACACACACGCACACACACGCACACACACGCACACACACGCAATTGTAGCTTTTTCAGCCCTACTGTACTAGAGAGCTGGGAACATGTCGTGTTATTTTTCTGATGCTGACACGAACACGAACACGAACACGCAATCGTGTTTGAATATCAGTTTTAGCACGAAATCAAGACCGAACACGCGCCAGCACGACCTACATTGTTTAAGCACGAACAGCACGTTCTCAAAAGTCGTGAGTATCGTGTCACGCGCTTGCTCAAATTTATATTATATAATGAGAACAGTTCATATCGGCTCCACATATATATATATATATATATATATATATTGTAAAGTTTCGTTTTATAAGGCAAACTCGTTGGTCGTATCGTAAAATCGTGTTTCGTGTTTCGTGCTCGTGTCTGATCTCGGCAAAAGTGCAGCACGCGTCATACACAAGCCTCTAAGCTGGGCAAAACACACGCATATTACAGATTTGTTTATTGTTTATTGTTTTTTGCTGCTGCTGCTGCTGCTGCTTACGTAGTGTTAAAACCGTCTTAGCGACAGCTCACTGTAAACGATATTATGTATCTAGAGTACACATTTATACCCTATATTTTAAACTCCTAACTAAATCGCCAATTGTGACACCAAATAACATCCTGTATATCATATCCACATATTATCAGACCCTAGTCAGCCTCTAAGAATCCGCAAAACAATAGATTTTAGCATGGTTATCACATGTTTCTTATTTCAGCAATACCCATGCCTGGGAACTTTGGCAGCATGTCAATTAAAACAACATTCGTAAATACTTGATTTAAACAACAAAAAAACAAAACAAAAAACAAAAAATATTTACGTTAAAATCAGTGTGACCGAATATAAAATTCGATTTATCAAAAAATACCCTTTTTATTATTTTATTTAACCCCAAATTGATTTAACCCCACTCCAGAAGTTTTAGTAAGGTTCTTGTAAATATGTATATGTATATGTTTAAATTTATATAAGTGCTAAAAGTAACAAATATTTAAATTTAGATTTTCTAGCGTCAACTTATTTTAAAGCCACGTACCAATCAAATTGGGCAATTTCTATGGTTTGTTAGTGAAAGCGGCGGGCTAGCTTTGATATATTTTAGGGCATTAGAGGTACAAACTGTACTAGATTGAAGGGCACAAGTGTCGAAACTAATTGATAAGTGAAAGTAATGCACCAAGGATATAGTTATAAACTATTAACCCAACCAGACAAATAGCACAGTCTATGCCTATGTGGCGTTAAAAACAAATCCCAAAAATCAACACAAAGGTCCTTGAGAGAACAATATTAATACTCGAGACCAGGGAATGTAGAAATAATGGAGTATTTGGCCAATTTTAGGTGTGTACAGGGTATCTGCAAGTCGGAAACTATACTCAAAATAGACACAAAGTTGATTGAGAATATAATATTAAGAATAGTAAGAACAGAATAGGTAGTAGGAAATACGTATCTGGCCATTTTCGAACGGGTACAGGGTATCTGCTAGTCGAAAGTTCTAAGTTATCTCAAAATCAACATAAAGTTGCCTGAGAATATATCTATGGTAAAGAAGCGAGGATGTATGAGAATCTATTGACAGTAGAGAACAGAGAATGTTGGAGTAAATGAATATGTACCCGGTTTGAAATGCGTACAGGGTATCTGCTACACGCACAAGCAGTAAAAAGTGCTCAGCGAAAGTACAATAAAATGCAGAATTCGAAATTCTAACTAAATATGATTCATGAAGCTTTAACTGAAAATGAAAGTATTTGAAAATATAGGAGCATGATCTTGTCTAGTTTTTTTGCCTGTTTTTGCGCTATTTTCTTTCTCGAATTTGGTCACACTGTTCAACTACGCGCGTATAATTGGCATTAATATGGGCATAAGATGCCAAAATTATTGAAACGTATTATTTTTGATAATTATTTTAGTCTATTGCAACTGTACAATAAAATGCAGAATTCGAAATTCTAACTAAATATGATTCATGAAGCTTTAAGTGAAAATGAAAGTATTTGAAAATATAGGACCATGATCTTTTTTTGCGTTTTTGCGCTATTTTCTTTCTCGAATTTGGTCACACTGTTCAACTACGCGCGTATAATTGGCATTAATATGGGCATAAGATGCCAAAATTATTGAAACGTATTATTTTTGATAATTATTTTAGTCTATTGCAACTGTACAATAAAATGCAGAATTCGAAATTCTAACTAAATATGATTCATGAAGCTTTAAGTGAAAATGAAAGTATTTGAAAATATAGGACCATGATCTTTTTTTGCGTTTTTGCGCTATTTTCTTTATCGAATTTGGTCACACTGTTCAACTACGCGCGTATAATTGGCATTAATATGGGCATAAGATGCCAAAATTATTGTAACGTATTATTTTTGATAATTATTTTAATCTATTGCAACTGTATTTGCTTCTAATTAATCTGATCACCGAGTTCTTTTGCAGCGCTTTGTTTGCAACAAACGCACAAGATTCAATTATATTAATAATATTCACTAAACTGAAAGAAACCGAGAATAACAAAAGCTATCAAAGTTAATGTCTGTTTGCGTTTCCCCCCTCTCTCTCTCTCTCTCTCTCTCTCTCTCTCTCTCTCTCTCTCTCTCTCTCTCTCTATCTGCCTTTCTCCTCTCCCACTCTAAATGCGAAATGCATTTAAATGTATTTCGGTTGCGAATTTTTTTTATTTGCGCTGCTTTTTATCTACTCTCTCCCTTCCGCTCCCTTTCCCTCTCTTACTCTCTCTCTCTCTCTCTCTCTCTCTCTCTCTGTCTTGGCTGTCTTTCTTTTTGTGTCATTTGCAGAACAAATGTGTGATTCCTAACGCTCAAGTGTCTCAGCAGATATTTATAACGTCACAGTTGCCAACGACCACAGATATCGCGAAACCTACGACAACAACAACAACAACAGCAGTACTAGCAGCAGCAACAACACCAGCAACTGCAGTCGCAGCCGCAACAACAACAAGCAGAATAGCCGCAGCCGCAGCCGCCGCCGCCGCCGCATCAGCAGCAGCAGCAGCGGCAATTTTACAAAAAACAACAGCAAACGCCTAAAGCTTAACGCGAGCACCTCTCGCTCAAACACGCTCTATCTCTCTCTCTCTCACACACTCCCTCTCTCCTTCTGCGTCTGCCTCTGCCTCTGCCTCTGCCACTATCTCTCTCTTTGTCGCTCCCTCTACTGCGCTCTCTTTCTCTCTTTGTGTATGGCTTAGCTTAGCTTTTAAGCGCGACGCTGTACTAAAAAAAAACTAAACTTATGTAACTGAAATGTGTGCACTTTTACAAATAGATAAATACGATTTTTTTTTATATATATATATATATACATATATATATACATACACACACATATAGCTGGAAAATGCAGCGTTATATTAATCCCAAAATTGAAATGAAAAGCCGTTAAAAGCGAATTGAATGCGATTCGAGGCGTCGGGTTTTTTTTTTCTCTAAATGTATATGTGTATGTGGAGTGTTAATGTTAAAGAGAAAACAATTTTTTTTTTTTAAATATATACGTAATCTAAGTCGTCAAAGTACTAAATATATATATATATATCTATATACACATACATACATATACATGTTCTTCATATACAAGAAATATAGCTACATATTTATATATATACATACTTAGAGTGCAATGACATACTCACATGACGTCACATTATATGCAAAATAACGGTATACCAAGCTACCTGACAAAATTTTGTTGCAGTGTTGAAAAACAACACATAAATGTAACATTTTGAAATGCGCGGGGCTTGAATTGAATCAATGATGATATTCGAAAGTAACTTGCCCGGGAATCGATGCAGAACTCGCTCCGTTTCAAATATGAACAATCTGAGCTTTACTTCTATCTAAAAGCAACGGGCTCTATTAAAGGCAAAGGGTTTCAGATATTATTTATGGCATTCCCAATCGGATAAAACTTGCCCACTGTTACTAACTTTTTGAGGGATAAGAATCCGATTCGATAGCTACAAACATCTTTAGGCAAAGTATTAAACGAAAGTTTCATGAATACTTATGGGCTTAGGCAAAAGAAGAAAAAACACCTTCGCTTGTTTTTGGTAGTTCGCAAAGTTCCGCAAAAAAGCTTCGACTTTGCGCGTGCTCCAAGAGCTTTTGCCGTTAATTTGGCTGGTTCATTAAACGCTTTTTGGAACCAGATCAAATATAAAGCCCCGTGAAAAAACCGCCTACAAACAAATATAAAATATACAAATAAAACATATTTAAAAAGTACAAAATGTAGTCAATGTACTTGGTATACAATATTAAAAAAATTACAAAAAAAAAAAAAAATACAAAAAATACAAAAAAAAAAAAAATACATAAATATATTCTCATAGGTATAATCCATGTGAACTATTCAGCTTGAGAACCATTTACACTGGCCGCGTAAATGCAGCAGCTTAAAAGCCCCATTTACACCGCTTGTCTAGGGAAAGTTTCCCACATTTTTTTTTCTGGCTTTATTCGTAGACGAAACGCTTCGCGCACATTTGTAGCTAAGAAAAAAAAAACAAGCCGAATTTAAAGGAACACACAAAATTAATGAAAAAGCTAACTACTTGAAAAAATGTTTAAAAACAAAATTAGAACAGCAACAAAACTGTGAGAACAAACATTCTTTACAAAAAAAAAAAACACGCAAAAAAAAAAACAGTGGTCAATGGCAAACTATTACGTGTATAAGCAAATATATGGTATATATGTGTGAATAAACACGATTATTTTATATGTGTATAAAATAAATTAATGTATGTCTCGCCTATTATTAATTCAAATGGACCACAACGAGATCAAGAACCCAGTTGAAAGTTAATCTTTGCCACAGGTTTCCTTGATATTAATCGTATTTGTACCCTGAAGTGACTAACAATAAGGGCATATTGTTTTTGTGCTAATGTACGTAACAGCTGGGAGGCAGCATATTCGGAAAGTCTATATATTCCTGAAGAGACATGTCTGTCTGTGTGACAATAGACAATACGCAGAATGTTTCTTTTGCTTCGATATCACATCCCATTGGCATTAAATCGATTATGATAGATCGCTTTTTTGGCTTAACTCGAAGATTACAAGAGCTAGATGCATGAAATTTGGTATTTCACTATTTGGATACCTGTAAGACTCGGGAATGACAAGAGCTAGATGAAATTTGATATGTGGATGCTCGTTTACTACACACACAGATAAAACATTACTTGGATACCTGCATAACTTGGAAGTTAGAAGAGCTAGAGGTCGATAGTTTCTCGTACAATCATCACATATGAAGAATATTTCACTTTTTTGATGCCTAACCCATTCGCGCCAAAACATTTAGTTAGGTAAGCTCTTGCGATTCGGTATAATTTCATAAAGATCGGAGCATAAACGCCGAAGTTAATCAGGATCGTATTTGCCATAACATGGAGCTAAGGGAAGGGCACAGTCGCAGCACAAGATGCGAAGAGGGGCATGCACAGGCTCTAGAGCTAGATTGCGTATACAGGGTATCTCCTAGTCGACTAAGGCACTCTCGCTTTTGATAGCCCTGCGCTGCGGCTTATGGATCGACGCGTGCCGGCCATGGGTTGAGGCCATGTGTGGCCATGTGTGGGTTGCCGGGGGGGAGGCGGGTGCAAGGGGCAAGGAGCAGCCATATCGATGACGCTGGAATGCAAATTTCGCAGTTAATGAGACATATTTATGGGGCCATCAAAATTTTTACTGCGCCCAATTAAAAAAAATTGAAACGAAATTCAGCAAATGACAAAGAAACACACAAAAGGCGCACACAATAACGATCATAATAATAATAATAATAATAATAATAACAATAATAACAATAATACAAATACATTGTTAAATACGTGTACATAATTTCATTAGCTGCGTACAACAACAACAACAGCAACAACAACAAGACGAGAGCAGTCAAAACAACAACAACAATAACGAACCAGAAGCTGAACCAGAACCAGAACCAGAACAAATTGGAGCACAATGTGAACGAAATTGAATAAAGACTCGAAAAAGGCGTGAGGTAGTCTGCGAGTGTGTGTGTGTGTAGGGCGGATGAAGCATCGTAAGAGTTCGCTGATTGTTGAGGATGTGAGCGATTTGTCTAGAAGAGCAGATCCTCGTCGCCGTCGTTTTCCAGTATACTCTGCGCCTCCTCGCTGCAGGGCACAGTGTAGCCCTGGCGGCGCAGCTCCTCGCGGGCACGGTCCGCCGATTTGCGGGCCTCGCGCTTCTTGTCCTGTATCTTCTTGAGGCGATAGAACTCCTCGCGCTCCAGCTCGTCCAGCTCACTGATGATATACTCAATGGTGCGATTGATGCGCGGTATGATCACTGTGCAGGGCATATAGATAGACATATACGATATTCGATTAGTTGGCATGCATACGATAATACGGATACGATAACGAACCGTACTCAATGGCGTTGACGCGCCTGTTGGTCACCTTGATGACATCGTCCAAGGTGACAAAGGATGTCTGCAGCGAGGCCAGCTCGACGAGCAGCCGGACAGCGCTCTGATAGTTCTTCTTCAGCTTGGCCAGCTGCTGGCCGCCACGCGCCAGCCCGGCCAGCTCGTAGGTATCGACGCCATCCTGATATGGCTCGAAGATCGGCAGCGTTACGCCCGCAACATTATCCTTTTTGGTTCGTATCTTGATCTGCGCCTTGGTCACATTCTGCAGCACAATCTGATTGATGTCGCCCGTGGTGAACTTGACCTCGGCCAGCGAAAAGGCCGCCTCCTTCATCACCTGGCCCATTAGCGTTTTCGTCTATGGGCAATAACCGACAGAGTTTCAATATGTTGACTGTGGCAACAGCCGCGTCGCGCTGCCTACCTCAATGATCTTGCCCAGAATTAGGCGAAAACGCATCTGCAGAGCGTCGGCCTTCTTCTTAAGTAGGCCATGGCCCTTTGTGGCGCCCGCCAGGCGCGATTTCATCAAAGTTTGTGCTCTGCGCGAGAAATTCATCACTTGGAGCATCTCTTGGGTGTGCGTGTGTGTGTGTGGGTGTACTCACCCGCGCGATGGAAATATGGGCAGACGATCTTTGGCAGCCATGATTTCAAGTTGAAAGCACACAATTTACCGTTACCGTTGCCGTTATCGTTACAGCTACAATTACAGTTACGTTCTCGACCAGCCGTTGACAAGTTTTGGGTCGAAATTTTTGTCAACAACAAGGACAACAACAATAACAATGCCCAAACTGTAAACTATAAATAAGAACAACAAAATATTAACCAAAAATATATATGTATGTATATGTATATGCGACAAATATACAAAAATAAACGGACGAGCAGCGAGACCAAGAACGAGAACCGCAAAGCAAAGCACACGACAGCGAAATGGGACAAACGGCAAATAGCGCAACGCTCATCCGACGTCAACGTCAACATCGGCGTCGACATCGACGTCGACGTCAACATCGGCGTCCAAAATGACGTATGGATAAAAGTGAAGCGCGACCGTTGGTCCGGGCGCTCAGCTGTTTCCACCGCAGCTGCCAGCGATGGACGCGTCAAACTAGAGATGAGCGCGTGAGTACCGATCAAATACGGCACATTTCAGTTGAATAGATCGAGCATATCAGTTGAGATGAAATTTGAATTTGAATTGATTTCAACGCGAAATGTTCAGCTTGATAGCTAAAGCAAAACCTGTTCTCATTCTACACTGTTCACAATGTGAAAGAGAGCATTTTAGTTTAGTTCTGACTTTCGTTCGTTTTTAGTTGGCTTGTTGATTCATTTTTCCTTAGAGTTAGGCGGGGTATAAGCTTTCCTTTCATTAGCTCCATCGAATAGATCGCGCCTTTATTTTTCGTGCTTTTGGGAACAGCCCCGGCGCCACTAATCTCTACTCACGACTACCTAAAACGCATATCTCTAGGCCACTGCTGCCAAATCGCTGCATTGGCCGTTAGATCAAATAAATTTAAATTGAAGCTGATTGACAACAATACGCATAACACTTAGCAAAAGAAGAGAAATGCCAAATGCCAAAAACACCTGCTGCCTCATCCATTGCCATTGTCATCGGGTTTCGTCATGACCTGACAATCGAGCACGGCCGCAAAGAGTTTTGGCTGGGGAGCCACGGGGGTGGTCCGAGTCACGCAATTTGAATATGCGTCTTGTGCCCAAAAACATTTATAAAAAAAGCGACAAACAAAAAACAAAAAACAACAACAAATTTAAAGTACACGTGTACGCCTTATATAGTTGGCTGTGTACGGCCACGGCCCACTGATGTTGTTGATAATATTTATTAAAATAATAAATACTGCATTGGGATTGACAATCGCCGAGGTCTCTCAGTCTCGCCCAGTGCCAGGGCCGAACAACAATGGTTATGGGCGTGGCTGGGTCCCATAACGAATCTGATGCCAAGCCAAATTGTCAACCCATAGATCCGCAATTACACGGCTACGTAATGCCCTAATTCCAGATGGCGGAACGTTTTCTCTCAAAGTTGTCAAGGTCATTGATGAAACTTTTATATTATTTAGTGTAATTCATAATTGAAGGTCATTGATGAAACTTTTACATTATTTAGTGTAATTCATATCTATATCTTTATCTATATATAAATTGTCCTGACTAACTGGCAGTTACCTTGTGTGATAAAAGGTGCAGGGTACGACGGGGTTTCGGAAAATTCTACCCGCAAATATGGCACATTTGATTGGTTATCATCCGATTAACTTATGTTTCGATCTATGTAACTGTGTACGTAAGTAAATTTGTCTATGCTCTTTTTTTTACAATTTTAACCGCTGTGCTGCATATTAAAACGTTATAAAACGGTAAACGCACTACTATGCGATTCTCAAGAATTCAAGTAAGTCCTGCAGGTTTTCTTGCTTTCTCAGAAGTGTTGTGTTGAAAAGTGTGTTGGCTAATTAATAAACTTTCTTTTTGCTTGTTAGTTTTGTGTGCTTGGGTGGTTGTGCGTGTGTATCTGTATGAATTGATGTGTGCGTACATAGATATACGAATGTGCACGCATACAAGTATGAATTTGCGTACTAACATACATATGTGCATTTCTGCCTGCATATAATCATATATACATCAATTAGAATTAGGCACTTAAACATTATACATACCTCCTGGTATTTTATTTATTTCTGTTTCTTTAAAATGTTTAGATTATTTAGCTAGATGCTAAAGATTGTACATATAGATTAAATAACTGTGCTGCTGCCATGCACTGCAAATATCCGTTGATGATTCTATTAAAATGCATGCAAATTTAACTGTTATTCAAACTAAACCGTATGGTTATGGCTCCAATTTTTACAGCTTAGTTAAAGCATTCTCCTTTTTCATCTCTCAATATCAAGGCACGAATATTTGTTAAGAAAGTGACACCGCTTTAGGCATAGGTCCTTGAGTAAGTCATATAAAAGTCAAAATTCGTATGTATTCACATAGTATAGATACACGCACGCATACACACACAACCGCAATTTGCGTGAGGCAGTCTCACACACACACACATACACACGCAGGCACAGACACAACAGAGTGAATCAACAGTTGGCGTTATTGCTGCTACCGCAAAAAACTGTCAAATTTCTGTGTGGTAAATGCGAAGGAGTGGGAGCAGGGATGAGACAAGAACAAAAGCAGCTTTGCCTCTCTCTCTTACTCGCGCTCTCTCCTGCATTTTTATTGTCATTTCACATAAGTCACGAGCAGGCAATGACTCGCTCACTGACTCACTCACACATACACACACACACACACACACGCACAGGCACGCACGCACGCACGCATCCTGCTAGCAGTTAACAGTTAACGCCATAGACGTCCGCCGAATGGGGGGCATGGGTCGCCAATAAACGACTTGTTGAGCAGAGTGCCCAGCACAGACGCCACTGGCACGTTTATTTTTCTCGCACAGGAACAGAGGCTCTGCTGGGATGCTGCTGCTGCTGGGGCCGCAGTTCGCATTTTGCAGCGCCCGCAAGTAGGTTACATATTTTTTTTGACGCTCCCGCGAATTAGAAAATCTAATTGAGAGCTTTGACACCATACGCCAGTAAGTAAGTAATTAATGAAAATCTGCAGAGATTTACAGCTACAAAATAAGCTAAGTGAGAAGAAAATAAAGTAAATATACACGTTGCAGTGCAGGTGATGTCAGAGTCGTAAAGCTTGCACGCTAGTGGAGGGGGGAGAGAGTTGTGTGCATGTAACAGGACTTTGTCGCTTAGGCGTCGTAAATGTTGAATATAATGCGATTGTAATCGCAGCAGCAGCAGCAGCAGTAGCAAACAACAACAAAGGCGCAGTGAGTGTGTTTGAGAGAATGTATGCGTGTTGGAATTCGTCTGTGTGCGTGAGAGTTTTGCGTTCTCTCTAATTACGTTATGAAAGCAAAAATGCCAGTGGCATCTGGCATCTTACATGTATGTATATGTGTGTATGCATGTGTATAGACAGTATGCGCACTTAAATACAGTGATCGCTCGCAAATTGAAACTGCACGAAATTTAAATATTTCTTTGAAAAAAAAAACCCCGCTAAAATAGTAAAATATATTCATTTTTATTTAGAATTAATCTTAAATTTTTCGTAAATATAAGTCGTTCTGAAATAATAATATATCTAGTACACAGCGTTTTATTTAGCGAGCGACCACTGTACGTATGAGTACCTATGTGTATGCAAAGCTTTGTTAGGAATTCAATTAAATGCAGAGTTTTCGATAAAAGTCTCTGAACAAACGATTAATTCCTTTGATAAGATAATACAATAATATTATTTGTAAAGAATGCTTATAATTGTTCTAAAAGTTTTCATAGTCTTATGACATAAATTTCCCAATAAGTATGCTACATATGTTCAGATATTATTTGCATAGCATACATTTTGCGTACAATTTTGTAAGGTTTTGAGGAATTTTAGTTCATAATTATATATTTTTTAAATCTCTTAGACGTGGACAGGAAGCTACAGTCTAGAACATTCAAGCTTTTGTGTTTCTTTGAAAAAGCAGCATCTTCTACACAAATTTCTCTTGATTATCGAAGAGTTTGAATCAACCTTTTTTCTTCCCACAGCTTCTTTATAAAAACGACCAAAACCGATAGAAAATTACAAAAGTATAATAGAAATGGAGTACAAAGTGATTACAGAAGAGCACTTCGAGCGAGTGATTGAGCATTTGCGCGGAAATTTCTTTGCCGACGAGCCGCTGAATCATGCGGCCGGACTCTGCCAGCATGGCGGTGGCAACGTTGAGCTGGAGCATCACAGTCTGGCAACGCTGCAGGATCAGCTCAGCCTGATGGCCGTCGATGGGCGCAAAGACAGCGCCACCTATGGCCAAATAGCTGGTGTCATACTCAACGGCGTTTTGCGTCCGGGCGATACGGAAGAGGCGCTGGATAAGCTACAACACAGCATGGACGACAGTTACAAAAAGATATTTGAGCTGCTCTACGGGCACAGCCTGCAGGTGGATTTATTTGCGCGCTACAATGTGGAGCGCATCTTTGATGTGCGCATCCTATCGGTGGATGCACGCTTTCGGGGCCAGGGCATCGCCAAGGAGCTGGTGCGACGTGCCGAGCAGGTGGCACGCAAATGCGGCTTTCATCTGCTTAAAGCCGATGCCACCGGCATATTCTCCCAGAAGATATTGTGCTCGCAAGGCTTTCAGCCATTCTCGGAGCAGCTGTATGCGAAATATACAAATGATGCGGGCGAGATTATATTGCCCGTGGAGGCGCCACACATTAAGCTCCAACTACTAACCAAACAGCTCAACTATGAGAGCAATAAGGAAATTCCGTCGATGCAGAAACAGTAAAGTTCAAAATACAATTTTTATAAACCATTTTTTTTTTTGATATACTATATAGATATATATTTCTATGTAAACGCGTTCTTGGAATGTGCAAGGGCATAAAATCAAGTAATCTTAGGCAAATATTTATATAATAATGCATGCGGAATTACAAAATATTATAAAAATACGCTCTATAGTCTATATATATTGAGCTTTTATGTGTGGCTTCTAAAACTATTATACCTTATAATTTCGGTATTAAATCTAGTTTTTATATATATTTGTTTTGGTTTACTTGGGATTATGGCAAGTTCAAAAATGTATTGCAAGCGCATTAATCTTATATAAATTGTTGTTGTTTTTGAATGGGGACCAACTGTTACACTAAACAACTAAATAACAATAACTAAATACGCTGTTGTTAAACTAAAGCATAAACATTATACGAAACTCAAGCATACACATATATAATGCATAACAATTTATCTAACAAGGTTACAATTTTACAGTAAATACAATACAAAAAAAAAAAAAATAAATAAAAAAAATCGAAGGTTTTTATTTAATATAATATAAAAATATATAATAATAGTAAGCTGGTGAAAACTTCGGTAACGCAATGTTTAGGTACTTCAGGTGAGAGGCCCAGCCTAGCACAATCGGATCCCATTCCTAATAAAAATATCACATAGGCGCAGGTCCATATAACAATAACAACTCTGGAAACTGCTGGGCAGGTACTACTGCATCGGCCATGGGGTCACTGAGCACTTGAAATCTACTTTTTGCGATTCGTCTTCTCATAAATAAATATGATGTCCTGATCGGTGCCAAAGGCAATACGCGCGGTGTCCATTGCCCCAGAAAAACACCGGCAAACGTCTGGAATCGATTGGCAATTAGTGGTTGTAAGAATTATCGATCAATTTCGTTGACTTACGTCCGTCGCGTACTTCTGGATTGTGATAAAACAACTTACGCGTGGTTATATCGTAGCCACAGAGCACCACGTAGTGTCCCGCATACCTTTTGTTTTCATCCGTTGGCAATTTTGAGTTTCGGAAATAACAAAATAGATGAAAGCAACTTGATAATAAGCTAACATTTAGGCTTAAGCCACAGAAAATTAAGTACAATCACATACTGTGCACGAGTACACAGCTTAGATATCTTTTAAATGCTTGAAATGGCGGTTAAAGCTGTGCCAGTCCGATTTTCGATTAATTAGTCAATAACTAAATGTTATCGATAAGCAGCAACAGTGCCATTTTGAGCGCTGGCTGTAATGGTAATTGTGCAATTGATATTATGTGTGCAAGTGTGGCAACGCCACGAGGTGATCGCAAGTAGAATTTATTAAGCCATGGACATGACCTTGAGTCGCTCTATTTATCTAATTTCCCCGTCTTTGTGTGAGTGTGTGTGTGTGTGTGTGTATGTGTATATTCGTGCATAGTACCAAGATCGCGTAACATAACGACTACCTACCCAAATCTCTCACGTATTGTTTTGCGGCAGATCTCGCAGACGAGCAGCGAGGCATTTGTCAGTAATATAATTGGTCCATGGCGCGCCAAATGCGAAACGATTACTGGCATGTCCACTGTGCGCTGCTCGACGCTCAGGCCACGCACTTTGGCTTCCTTGAAGCGACGCAGCACCCGCCTCTCGTCCTTGTCAATTATGCGCGTATAGTACATGTGCTTCTTGTAGCTAGGATCGATTCCAAGTGTTTGGGTAAAGTACTCGTGTCGCACATTATAGCGCTGCAGAAGATAGCATAGATCAATTGTCCAGGTGCTAACGCCGAAGCCCTCCTCCTTGCAGATGGTCTCGAAATTGTTGAGGAACTGTTTACGCTGTGCGGTGGACAATATCATCAGTATGCAGGATACACCGCAATCCCAGTTATAGCGCTGTTGGTAATGTGTTAGATTGTAGTGTTTACTTTGCGGTATATTGTTCATTTTTGTTTTGTTTTCCTTGTTTGTTGTTGTTTTATCTTCTGCTTTTGTTGACACACACTGGTACCAAACTCTATGTGAACAATTGCTTTATTCCATTTGATTGCATCAACATGTTGTTAGTCATTAAAATTTTGATTTATTTGAAAGATTTGGGGGCCAAATGACTTTAAATGCTAAATTTTGAAGATGAAATTGCAATATGATAATATTTATTGGTTTCTTTTCAAAAACAGATGAGAATGTTAAACGTAGCAAGCACAACGTAAAGTTAAAATGACAGTAAAAAATAACAGAGACGTAAGCGCAAAAAGTGTAACGTAAGCGCAAAAATGCGTAACGTAAGCCAAAGAGCTCATTTAAGCAGTTCAGCAAATACAAGCCCCTTTTTAGCAGTTGCAAATCGCTGTGGTAATTGAGCTAAACTATATTAGCACAACCATTTGGCTCAATCTTTAAATTCACGACCAGCTTAGCAGAACGACCAGCTAACATTAGAGATGTGCAATACTGTGACTTCAGCTAATGTGATGTATTTCAAAAATTTCAGCAACTGAGTTTTCAAAGTGATTTACAAAAGCTTACCCGGTGTGTTGCCACCGGCACGTGTCTTGTGACGAATTTAATGTAAACAATGGCAATAATAAAGTTTGACAGACTATAGTCAAAGTAATCTCTTGGCATGCTTAACATAAATAAAAAACGGACTCGTTTCTGTTTTTTTTTTTGTTTAGTTACAAATTTAAAAGTTATAAACTTATATCACTTACAAGCATATATAAGTGTAAATTATCGCTGTTAATTATATGTGCAAAACTATCGCCCATCTCTAGGGCATAACATAATACACAAGTGTGCGAATTCCATAAAGTCGCGCACGGCCAGAAACGGGTCGGGTAAATATTAAAACAATATCAAAATTTTGGTATATGTAAACGCCTAGAGCATAGAAAAATTTTATATTTGGGTCAGCAGTGAGACAAGCGGCGCCAGTAATATATCAAAAGAGTGTGACATGCGTGTGTATTAGTGTAAATGTACATTTCTACATATGCGTTTCAATATGTATGCAAGTTTGTGGGCGTGTGTGTGTTTGTGTGTGACCTTCGCGCAATCATTTAGCTTGGCCGACTTTTGACAATTATAATCAAAGTAACAGCATCCTGGTCCGCACACTGAAAACATCAATCGGATGAGTTTTATGTGTGTTTACATCGATGGCAGCTGCCGTTGTCGTCGTAGCCCGCTGCCTTTTAAAGTGCATTAAGTGGCAACACTTGCGTTTGATATTATGTTGTGACTTAATTAGATTTTACAGCCACCTGAGAGAGCTTTTAACAGAACAGCAAGAACAACAACAGCAACAACAACAAGAACAAGCGCATCACTAATGAACTGTCCTTATGCTTTGCTCTTTACAGTTGACAAACAGCAACAAAAATAACAACAACATCAATAACAGCCGCTCTGTGTTAATAGAAGACGCCACGTTCTTTATTGTAAACAAGTCTAGTCAACAAACAGACCAAATGAGCGCCCACTCCAGCTAAACCGAGCAGCAAAAACCAAATAACACCCACACATACACACACACACTCATACTCATACTCATACCCATACCCATTAATCCCCCAACATACACACACATACAGCTAATCAAAATGCGCGTAGTGGCAATGGTAAGTGGCGGCAAGGATAGCTGCTACAATATGATGCAGTGCGTCGCCGAGGGCCACGAAATTGTCGCCTTAGCCAATTTGCATCCCAAGGACAGAGGTGAAACTTTAATTCGCACATATCACACAATACACATATTTACTTATTAATTCTCATGTTTGTGCCCGAAACATTAGATGAGCTGGACAGCTTTATGTACCAGACCGTTGGCCACATGGGCATCGAGATACTCGCCAGCGCCATGGGTCTGCCGCTGTATCGGCGCGAGACGAAGGGCAAGAGCACACAGACCGGCAAGCAGTATGTGCCCACCGATGATGATGAAGTCGAGGATCTCTACAGTTTGCTGGAGACGTGCAAGGTGAGGGGGCAGCCCATAAGGTATAACAATTAGTCGATGTACCTGTCTGTCTGTCTGTCTGTCTGTCTTTCTGTTTGAATTGAAAAGAGTAAAGGCCAGAGATTAGCGATTCTCGATGCTAACTACCTGACGAATGACGCTAGCGTTGACGTACACGTTTATACCCTGTACCATTCAACAGTTTTGGGCTTGCACCTGACCAACTTGACTTAGCTGAAAGACAGTCTTAATGGTCCCTTAAGAGTTAGACATATTTTTAATTTTTTAAAAAATTTAAAAAATCAAATTGAGGGATCAAGAAAAGAATGTCCAAAACATAAACGTTTTAATATATACTCATTCCAGTTAGAGTAAAAAACTTGAAGCCTAATAAAAATTTAAATATTAAGAACTCATCATAAATAAAAACAAAATAAATAAATCAAAATGAATCAAATTAGCTTAAAAGCCTAAACTTAGTGAAACTTACACATAAACAATTAAAGAAGCCTGTTAAATAATGTTAAAGCTTAAATAAATATATTTACAGCGTATAAATATCTAAAAAAAAATAATAAAAATAATTTTTAAAATATTTTAAAATTGTAAATAAGTATATTTACAGCGCATAAATTAAAAAAAAAATAACACAAATAAATTTTAAAATATTTTATAAAAATAAATTATAAATTTAATATATCATAAACTAGTAAAACATGCAAATAACAGAAATATAAAAACCTTAAGCCCAACAACAAATTATTTAAAAATAGTTAAAAAAAGTTAATAAAAAAAAAAATAGTTGAAAAGCCAAAAAAAATATCAACAAAACTGAACGAAATACAATAAATTTAAAAACAAAAATGAAAAATTTGTAAATTGAACAAATATAAAAATATAAATTAACTAAACCACAAAAAAAAAATGTAAACTTACGAGGCCAGAGAACACTAGGAGGTAGCTTGATATATATACCTTATATATATATATATATACATATGGGTAGTGAGGTGAGGCATCTAAAATCGGAAATATTTTTTAGCTGTTTGTGCTGTACGTGAACCTACATACCAAGTTTTGAGTATCTAGCATATATCGAAATCGTTTGATAGTTTATATATACGAGATTATATATTATATGTTAAGTATTATATATCAAGTCTTTAATTCGTGTAGTTCGATCAAGAATATGTATACATTTTAGATATATATATATATCCTTCTGCCTGTTTGATTCATTTACACAAAGCTAAATCCTCTTTACGAAATTCCAATGGGTTCAGGATATAGCAAAAAGAATATATACATTAAAAATGTAGTCAAAATTCCAATTTACTTTCGTAAACACAAAAGAAACCAAATCTTGAGATTTCGGCAAAACCAATTTTACGCAAAAGATGCTTAAAGTATTTACAGGATATCTGCGCGTCAGGCAGCGGTTGCTTAGCATTTTTTGTATGGTTGTTGACTGTCTGTAAAAATGTCCTTGAACGGGTAACGCCCCACAAACAAAACGAACCAAAACAAAGTAAAAAAAAAAAAAAAGAAAAAATAAATATAATTGCGGAAATTAGTTTCGCAATTGTTAATCGTGTAATCTTATCAAAAATGCCACCAAGCACGTGAACTATGAACAAAATATTTGATTAGACTCCAGCGGCTCGCATTATCGATGCACCACGCTCCATGACAAAGCACTTTAAATCGAAAGATGTTACCCAATAACAAAGTGGGTCATAACCCTGTAAATATTTCTAGCGTGCTGCTGAAATTCGATATCCGACCTCGTCTCAGATAGTTTTGGAGGAGATTAAGAGTACAAAATCCTTTTTCCAAGTGGTTCAGGATCATAACTCGGCATTTACTTGACGTATTCTGCTGAAAATTGTTATGTGGCTTCGTGATAAATAGTTTTACATAAAATGCCTTGGATTGGATGAAGCATGACGTTTATTTTGCATAGCACCAAGAAATAACGAAAGCGTTAAAGGATTATAACTGATAAAGCTTGTCATATATTAAGCTGAAATTCTCTATGTGCATGCATTGCGCCTTAATTTAGTATAAAAACAACAAGTAGAGCCTATATAGAGGCAAATTAATGTATTATTTCAAAAGTCTCGGAAGTTCCTAGCTCGAGAAATATGCCATGTATTAAGCTAAAATTTGGTATGTGGGCGCATCTGTCGTAGTTGAACCAACAAAACAAAATTAAAGTTTAAATATAATGATAAAAGATAAATATTTAATTTATTTGTTATGTGAGCTCGTGGCAGATAAAAACATAATAAACAAATATTTATACGATAAAGGCAAAGGCAATTACTAATAAATTATAATCAGAGCTCAGCAAATATTTAATGTGAATCCGCTACAAATTGTATATTTCGACCATTTCGAAGAGATTTCCGCCCACAACAAATGCAAATTTCGTAACACTGAATTTTTGAATATGTTGTTTATAAAGATTTCGCTGTTGCATCCGCATCATTGCAGCACGAACTAAATGTGGATGCGGTGGCTGTTGGTGCCATACTGTCAGACTATCAGCGTGTGCGTGTGGAGAACGTGTGCAGCCGCCTCAACCTGATATCCTTGGCCTATTTGTGGAGGAGAGATCAGACTGAACTGCTGCAGGAGATGATCGACTGTCAGGTGCATGCCATTATCATCAAGGTGAGTCCTCAATAGAATACCAACAGCCAACATTTAATCGAAATGCATATAATTCGCTATTAGGTCGCTGCGTTGGGCCTGGTGCCGGATCGTCATTTGGGCAAATCGCTGCGCGAGATGCAAACCCATCTGCTAAAGATGCGCGACAAGTATGGCCTGAATGTGTGCGGCGAGGGTGGCGAATACGAGACATTCACGCTCGACTGTCCGCTGTTCAAGCAGCGCATCTCCGTTGAGGATATACAGACGATAATTAGTAGCGCCGATCCGATATGCCCCGTTGGGTATATCAATTTCACGAAACTAACGCTGCAGCCAAAGGAGCCAAATGCTGGCGGCGATGTGGTCTTTGTTAAAAAGTCACTCGACTATATAAGCGATCTCAATGAGTCGACGTACAGCGATCTGAGCGATCCGGATTTCAGTGAAACAGAATTGGAGCTGATTGAGAAGGAGACGCGCATGCGCGAATCGCTTAGCCAGAATGAGTTGATATCGCGCAGCAATTCATTTGGCAGACATTTGGCCACATCATCGTCCTCGCCGATACCCATTGTAACGAAGAGCGCCAGCGTCGACGAGCCCATACCGACGGCCAGCTGTATGACGGGCAGCGCCTCCCTGCTGCTGCTGGCCAATGCGAATCAAGGGACAGCCGCATCGGCATCCGCATTGGCATTGGGTGCCACAGCAGGTGCATTGCAGGCAAATAGCTGTTGCGGCTTTGGCAGCTCCCATCCATTGGGCAGCAGCACGGCCGCCGTATGCGGCTCGCTGTCGCTGGCCATCTCCTCGCTTGGGCTGAGCACCACACAGTGCAACAATAATGCGGCGACGGCGACGATGCCAACGGGCTATACACAGCCGCCCAGTCCAATGAAATATGAACGTGAATTTCGTCCACTTGCCAATCAGGCCAAAGCGGCCATCAATGCCAAGGGCTGGATGTGGCTGGCTGGCATACAGGGTAACCAACCAATCAGTGC